TTCGGTTATTATTTTGGTAGTGGCTTTGCCTTGCATTCTCCTCTAATCAACTCATATGCTTCATTCAATACCTTCTTTTCAAAAGATCCACCTGCAAACTGCATCTAAAAAATGATTTTGATATTAAGGTGATAAATTGCATTATAAAAAGTTTTGTTACCTGTAGCCACTTGGGCAAACTGTGATGTGGACACTTTCTTAGCAAGTCCTTGAATCTTTCCCAGCTTCATACAAGCTCTCTTGATCATGATGAGCAAATGTCATTATCTCATTGCGCAACTTTGGTGTTTTTGAGGAGGGAAAAGAATTTAGCTGAAATTTTTGAGCTTAATTCATCCCATGTGGTTAAACAACTTCCAGCGGGACATGATTGTAACCATGCTCTAGCCTTTATCCCTAAGAGTGAATGCGGAAAAAAAGTTCTTAATTTGGATTGCCATCTTCAGAAAACACCATTTTGTTGAATGTGTCACAAATTTCCCAAAAAATTGGTGATGTGCAGCATTAGGATCTTCACTAGGCAAACCTCCATATTGGATCGAGGGTAGAGAGCATTTGGATAATTGAAAAGTTTAATCTCAAAGTTTATAGCTTCTACCCTAGGTCTTGTAATACTTGAGGTTCTCCCATCGATTTTAGGTTTGTATAATCCCTTAAGGTACGGGATCGGATGTTGAAGTGTGGAGCTCAAGCTACGTTTGTTTCTGTTCGTTTCATTGGCCATGTCTGCTTGTTGTTCGGAGTTTTATTTCTCTTGCTTTTCTTGCAGTGTTGTGGCCTTACGACAAGTTCGCTCAATTTCCGGATCAAAGACTAGAGGTTCAGTTTCCTTCTCGATCTTCTTTGCATAAAACACCTGGAATTAATTTCTTAGGAGAAAATTAAGTAATAAATAAAAAGAGTGTCTAAATTAACAACAGGGTAATTCACGTAATTGATATTTGATACGCCAATCCCGGCAACGGCGCCAAAAAAACTTGACAACGTTTTTCGGAAGTGTACGAAATCGCAAACAAGTAGTATAGGACGTAATGACATCAACTCTCGATTTCATATCCACAGGATTGTTTATCAATTAACCCAAAATTATGTTAACCTATTATATTCATTTAGACGATGATAAAAAGGAGTTTCGCTGGGTATATAAATAAATATATTCAAAGTAAAAGAATCAAACACAAAATTTTGGTGAAAAGAATTAGGGGATTAAGCTACCTAGGTTGAAATTGATTTCATTTAATTCTATCAAGCTTGTTCTATTAGTTCATTAATTACAAGTGGTGTATATTTGTTTCAAGTAGGAGAAAACAACCCTAGGTACTAACAAGCTTCTCCCGATGTTTATTGTTTAGCTATTCTAATCCAATATTATGGCAAACCTGTATTAATGAGTGAAATTAAACATGAATCAAGATTCATTAGTTTTAATGGTTGTTTTATGAATTCACAACTTAATACTTTTATTAACTTATGAAGCCCCCCCCTTGAGTCAAACCTATAAGTTTTCCACATCAAGTATTATTCACAAGCTAAATTATTACCTTATTCATATTCAATAACCCCTTCTCCCGAATGATCTGTTATTGAAATAATCAATTCCAGGGGAGTTTTTTCTGCCTGGAAGCCTTAAGCACAATATAAGTCTATAACAAGGAACAAAGAAAAATTAAATCTAATATTATAAGCTGAATCGACATTAAAATTTACATCAAAATCCCTAGTATAAAAGTTTAGCTAGACATAGTAATTAAATAAACTCAATTCACACTTGAATCATTCATCATATTTAAGACAATAATAAGAAAGAAACAAGAATGAAAAGTTTAGAATAAAAACTGTATCAGCAACTATGTTGATGGCTTCCTGAATCTTAGCACAATTATTTGAAGCCTTGAAAATCTTTGAGAAGAGAGAACTATGTAAAAAGTTGTACAATAGAAAACCGATCTCTTGTTAGGGAGAAGTTCCTCTCTTTATATAGAGGTTTTTTTGAGGCAAGTTTTACTCCTTTTGGCGAAATAAATTCCCTTAATTTAGTGAAAAATCCTTTATAGGAGATCATGACTGTTTTGTTCTTGATTTTTCTCTTGATTAGACTCCTTTTTTCCTTCAAGAATTAGGTCCAGGTCTTGGTTTAGGTGTGTTTAGGAAACTACCCGAGGTCGGCCCATGTGAGAAAAAGCTTGATTTGCGCATTAAAACTCCCGCTAGTTTCCTGCCCTGCGCAGGCACGGGCGTTGCTTCCCTGCACGGGCTGGGGTGTGCTTTAGTCTGGAAGTCTGGCTTAGTGAAACACGGGGCGTGCTAGGTAGCACGGGGCTAGCGAAGAATTGAGGGCACCGGGCTGCCACTTAGCACGGTAAGGCGTGCTTTTCTCTGGAAGTCTGCCTAGAGTTGTCAACGGGCGTGCTATGCCTTTGACACGGCCCTGGTCCCATATATAGCACGGCCGTTGCCTTTTGGCACACCCTTGGCCGTGCCTCTCTTCTGTCTCTCCTTTGGTTTCCTTGGCTTCTAGCACGGTTGTATTTTATAGCACAGCCTGGGCGTGCTAGAACAACTAAGTGCCTTGTATTATTAAATGTTCTATTTCTGCCGCCAAAAATTCTGCAATTTTGTTTCTTAAGATCAAGCGGATTAAAGTCAAAGGAAGCTTTTGAACATAATTTACCTAAAGTGATTTAAAATCAAATAAAGCAATAAAACTTAACTAAAATTCAAATAAAAACTATATTAAAAACACTATAGGAATAAACACCTATCAATCATCCTCAAGAGGACATCCATGGATAATCCTTCAGAAAGGATTGATGCTTTGAGCTCAATTTAAGAGATATTTTTGGTTAATGTTGCTTTCTTTCTCAAAGTTAGAACCTAAAAACTTAGAAGAAGAAGCTCAACAATGATTGAAAGGTTGGATTCTTGCCAAGAAGAACTAAATTCAATTTGAGAATTAAACCAAGTTTGGAAAACTTGTTTCAAGACCTAAAAACCATTATTTATTGCGAACAAAATTGGTGTTTAGAAAATAAGCTTGATGAACAAGATATATTGTTGAGAGAAACAAAAGGCAAGTTTAGTGGCTCAAGGGTACAACCAAGAGAAAAGCATCAATTTTGATGAGACCTTTGCTCGGTGCTAGACTTGAGGCCATTAGAATGCTTTGTGCATTTGCATTGTTTTTAAAAAACTTCATGTTATGATCAAATGGATGGAAAAGTGCTTTTCTAAATTGGTTTTCTAAATTTAAGAAAGTGTATGTAGAACAAACCACCTGGTTTTTGATTTCTATGATAAACCAAATCATGTTTTACAAACTTCCTTAAAAGCTCTTTATGGTTTGAAACAAGCCCCTAGAGCTTTGGTTGAAAGATTAAGTAAGTTTTTATTAGAAAATTGGTTTTTTTCTAGAGGAAAGGTTGAATACTGCCACTTATTTATTTAAAAATAAACACATGATGATTTCTAGTTGTTGTAAATCTATGTTGATGACATAATCTTTGGTTCTACTAATGACTTTTCTTTGTAAGGAATTTTCGAAGATTATGTAGGTGATGTTACGAAATGAGGCATGATGGGAGAATTAAATTTCTTCCTTAGGACTTTCAAAATCACAACAATTGTGATAATGGAATTGTTCATTTAAACCAGGTAAGTACTAGAGAATTGTTGAACGGTCCAAATTGAAGAATGCCAAGGTATGTAAGATACACCAATGAGGTCCATCCTTCAAAAATTAGAAAAAAGATGAAAAAAGGAAAGGATGTGGATTATTAAATTGTTTTTAGAAGTATGATTGATTCTTTACTATATCTAATTGCAAGCAGACCTGACATTTCACTTTAGTATTGTTTATTGTGCTAGATTTCAATCATTGTCCTAAAGACTCATTTAAATTGCTTTAAAAAGAATTCTAAGAATCTTTGTGGAACTTTCTAAGTTTGGGTCTGTGGTCTAAAGGTGAGTACATTTGATCTTGTTGAGTATAGTGTTCTGATTTTGCAGGGAAGTAGAATAGATAGAAAAAGTTACGTCTGGAACTTTACCAATTTCTAGGTATTGCCCTTGTATCATGGTTTAGCAAGAAACACACATATGTTGCTCTTTCTACTGCAGAAGCAGAATATATTGCTACTGGAAGCTGTTGTTTCACAGAGTTTTGTGGATTCAAGCAACTAATTGGCAGACTTGTGGTCTGAAATTAAAAATAGTTACCAATTAAATATGACAATTAACCGCCATAACTTATCTTAAGAACCATTCTAGCATTCTAAGAACTAGGCACATAGAACCTCATGCATCACTTTCATATGTGATCATGTTCAAAAAGGTGAGTATAGTGATTGAGTTCCATTCTACAGAAAAAAACAAATTGGTAAGATTATCTTACCTAAAACCTTTGAGTGAAAGCCAATTTGCGCTTAATCAGAAGAGAACGTTAATCGTATGTTAGTTCTACTCTAACGGTAAGGAATCTGTTAGTATGTTTCTAAATTGCTTTCTATATTTTGAGATTTTATATTTTGAATATTCTATTGCTATGTGATTCTGGAAAAATATTTTTGTCTAAAAAGGATGCATATTGTTCTGATGTGACAGCTAATGTCATTTATTCAAGATTCCATTTTTTAGACAAAATTAAGAACAGTCGATTTCTTTTATTTTATTTTTTTGTTGTTGTACTATTTTTTATTTCTGTCTCTTTTTATTGTGTTTTATGTCTTTTATTTTATCTAAGTTTTTTATGTCTTTATTTTATCTAAGTTTTGGTGGTATTTTCTTTTTAAATATTTAAGTCGGTTTAACTTTTTTGAAACCGTTTTTTTATTCATTTAAATTTTCTTCTTGATTATAACTTCTCTTTTAAGTATTTCTTTCTTTCCTAAATTTTATAACTTCTCTAAATTAATCACTTTTCTTCTCTATTAAAACTATTTTATCTTCTTTTTTCCCCTCTCATATCGAAACCCTAAACTCCTTCTGCTTCAAAAACCCTAACCATGGCCAGATCAAGTTCTACTTCTTCCTCCTCTGATTCTTTGACAGAACAAGAACTTCAACTTCTTAAGAGGTTATCTAAGAAGTACGAACAGAAAGAATCAGGACAAAAGAAATCCATTGAGGAACCGAGTTCAAAGAAAGACAAATCGAAAAGTAAAACGAAAAAATCAAAAGGGGAAGAAAAATCGAAGGAACAGGTCTCTGGTTCTCGCAACAAAGGTAAAGCTATTTTATCTCCTTACCCTCTTATGCGTTCATATGTTATTGACTGGAAGTTCTTTGGAAAAGAAGAATTCAACTTTAGGGAACTATTTGAGTTCTAAGGATGGATGGAGTTTTTGTCTTTAAATCGATCTTGCTATGAGAATTTGGTAAAGGAATTTTATGGCTCTCTCAAAGCCATTGGTTCAGAGTTGATTTCTGTGAAAATTGATGGTGCTTACCCCTATTTTTGAGTTTTAAAAGTTGATTTAGATAAGAGTGAGGGTCATAATGTTTCAAAGTTGGATTGTGGATCTTTGAAACTAAAGGATGAAGAAGGTGAAGAAGAAAAAGAAAAAGAGACAGCAGTTGAGGTTGAAATAGAGTCAGAAAAAGAGTTAGAAGAAGAAAAAGATGAAGCAGGAACTGAAGAGAAAAAGGATTCTGTTAATCCTGAAGAAGAGACTGAAAAAGAAGAGGCAAAAGAAATTAAGGAAGCCAGTGATGCTAATACAAAAAAGCTAGAATTAAGTGAAGAAGAAAAAGAGACTGAGGTTGAGGCTAATACGGAATCAAAGTTTATAACAGCACAAAGGAGTAGAGAGGCTATGCTGGGCAAAATGGAAAAAGAACTCATTGAAGAGCATAATAAGGAGCTTGATGAGGCTATCAAACAGAGTAATGCTGTGATTGCACACAACCAGTCCCTCATTAAGTCTTTAGAAAGGATGAAAAATTTCAATGAGAGAAGGCTAGCTACTCTAAAGGTAAAGGGCAAGCCCTACACTCCTACCTCAGAAAAGCCTAAGAAAGTGAAGCACACTGCGGGAAAGCATAGAGTTCATGTAAGGAAGCCTCCTCAGCATCCCTCTTCTAAACATTCTGAGAGTCCAGGTGAAACTTCTCCTGCACAGAACCTCAGAAGTTCTAAGAGACTTAGAATTGATTCCAAACCTCTCTGACTCCCTTCTAATCTGCTCTGATTGTGTTTTGAGAATTATTTTCTATTCTTTATTTTTAGTTCTTTATTTGTCTTTGTAGTTTGTATTGTTTCGAATTCTATTTAATTTTTTGTTTTTTTTATTCTGTTTGTTTTACTAACCCTTCTTTATGATGACAAAAAGGGGAGAACACAAGAAATTTTGATGATTAGGTACCTGAAGGAGTATGTATGTTATTTTTTTTACTAATCTCTATATGCTTATCATGTTCTAATTTGTGCTATTTTGTTTCGATATAAACAGAAAATAGAATATGGCTATATGTTTTGTATGATGATCTGATAGTTAGATTTTCGAACTTAGTTCTCTATTCTAATGTATGCTCTGCAGGTTAGACTTAGAACTTAGTTTTTTATTCTAATGTCAATTTCTATTTCTTTTTGCTCTGATCATATGCTCTGATTATTAGACTTTAGAATTAAGTTTTTTTTTAATTCTAAATATATGTTCTAATATCAGTTTCTAAAACTATTTTCTGTTCTAATCCCTGTAGATATTTTACTGCACTTATTCAGGGAAGCTTTATATATGTTCTAAACTTGCTTCATGATAAAATATGTTATGTTTAGAACTTATAATTTATTGGCATGCATAAATTTAGGTGGAGTAAATGATTTTATGTTTAATAAATTTATTAGTTTTGTCATCATCAAAAAGGGGGTGATTGTTGACTCGAAGGTCAATTTTATCTTGAGATTTTGATCATTAAGCAGAACAAATAAATTTAATTATTTTATCTGTGCTAACATTATTTTATGCAGATTTATGCTTAAAATATGAAAATAATAAACGAGGCAAATTCCTACAAATCCAAGGATAATTGAAGATCATGAAGACCATTGAAGATTTTAGTGGTTAGCATTTTAGGATTTGTTGTAGGATAGAGAGAATTAAAGCATTTTAGGATTTGTTGTAGGATAGAAAAGAGAATAAATTCAATTTATAAAGCACAAAAACATTTCTTCTTCCTTTCTCAAAAATAATTTTCGAAAAAGTTTCCTTGAAAAGTCAAAAATCTAGTTTTTAAATTCACTTACATAAATGAAAGAGATTTTGTGTCAATCATTTTTTTTTTGGCAACAAATTTTTGAAAAAGATTTATTCATTTTTAGAAACTATCTCTATAAAAATCTTACTTTTATTTACTTACCTAAACGAAAGAGATTTTGTCTCAATCATTTTTCGTAACAAATATTTTGAAAAAGGTTTTTATATTTGAAAACTATTTTTAAGGAAAGTCCAAAATCTTGCTTTTATTCGCTTACCTTAAAAGAAAAGATTTTGACTCAAAACATTTTAGGCAACAAGAGGTCAACAAGATCTCCGTACTCTTCTAGTTTTGGGAAGTCAAAATTCTTATTTAAAAGCTAAAGATTTTACTTTCAAAATGGGGATTTACATATCCCTCTCTATAAAAGGCGTCATCCCTCTCTATAAAAGGCGTCTTTTCCTTGTAAAGACGTGGGTTTTTGTTTTAAGAGTATAAGTCCATTGATCAAATCTTTAATCTCTCAAAACTTACTTTCAACCCCCTTATTTCTTTTCATCTTATTGCTTCATGAATTATTTTTAAGAGAAAAGAAAAATTTATAACAACATCTTTTGAAAAACAGTTTTGTTCTTTAAAACGGTTTTCTAAACTTAATTTATGTTTTTCCTGTGCTTATATTTGCATTTCTCTCTATCTATATAGATTATGTAATCTGTTGTAGACAGGTTTTTTCTGAAAAAGATTTGTGTAATAGCTTAGGTGAAAAGCTATTATGAAATAGGTTATCAAGTGACCTTCTCCTTGTGTGAGATTCTAATGTCTTTATTTGAGTTTCTGTTCTCTACAAAAACAGACAGAAAGGGTTGAGAATGACCTAGAACCTTTGGAAAATCAAGTGGGACAAAGGGTGAAGATCTAGGTGTTTGAATCTATTTGCCTTGTACTGTGGTTTGTCTCTTACCCTTAAAAAGAGATAACATAGTGGAGGATCTCAAGATGAGTCTTGGGGAGTGGATGTAGGCGAGTTAAGTGCGAACCACTAATAAATCGCTTGTGTTAATCTTTTTACTTTCTCTGAAGTTCTTGCTTGATAACCATTTTTATTTACACTTCTGTTAATCTTTTAGAAATGCTAAGGTTTGTTTAGTGATTTTATTGTTCTAAACTCGTATAAGTTTTTATCTTTATTGAACATTAAGAAACTCACTTCTGTTAATCTTTTAGAAATGCTAAGTTGTTAATGATTTTATTGTTCTAAACTCGTATAAGTTTTATCTTTATTGAACATTAGAACTCTGGACTTCTGCATTGTGAATATACCAAGTTTGAATAATAATAATTACCATAATAATCAAACTATCTGAGATTGCCAAAATGAGGATATTACAAGACTTTTACATAAAGAATCCGAAAAATCAGCCCAAACAAACGGGCTCCAAAAATTTATTCTCAAAATCAAATGAGATTTTCACTAGATATTTGAGACATTGCCACGACATGCCAGGTATGGTTTTTATACCAAAATTCCATTCAAAAGTGTTGAAATCGGGGTCCGTAAGCTCGGACCTTGATTAGCCCAATCTTCCGGAGGGGACAAACTATTGACTATGATTTCAGTATTGGCTTTTAGGAAATCCTGCTACAGTTACAACGGCATGAGAATCAACAAGATCGGACGTCATTTGGGCCTCGAATGAACCCCCAAAAGCCCGAAAATCCCAAAATCAAAGCAAAATGGCAGAGTAGTAATTTGCCCTAATCGATGCCCACCTGTATGCTACCAGCATCGATCACCCGCCATCCGGTACCAATTTGGCCCTGCTAAGCAGCCTCCATAGGTACTAGCACTAACATGGTCAGTACTAACGCTGAGCAGCTTAGCACCAACCAAGGCATGTTAGGCAGCCTCTTTGGTCTATAATAGGTGCTTTCCCCCTCATTTACAAGCACCTCTTGTTGCTTGATCGAACACTTATCAAGCATCAACAAATCTATTTCTCCTTTGTGCGAACAATTCTAAGGTAATATAGTCCGATTCAGTTCTCAAAAGTCAATCATTTTGACTTTCACTTACACTTTAGTCTTCCTTAGACTAAAGCTATCTAATATAATATTATAAGCCTAATTTTGGGTCCTCGTGCCCTACCTTTGCTAAGTTGGAGAAAGACTCGACGTCTTTTATTATTTAAATGACCGTGGATCTACGCAACCGCACTCTTGCACCACCCAACCATTAAACCCCTTGTCCTAGGGTATAAAACTAAACTCGACTTTATCAATTAAGCCCGGTCCATCTAGCATCTTATAAACTGTCAAGCCCGATCCATCTAGCATATAAAATGCTTTAAGCCTGGTTCGCCCAGCACCCACTATAAAACCAGTTTTTAATGCAAAGCTCGATCTGTCCAGCACCCTAAGCCCGGTCCGTCCGGCACTTTATAAGGCTACTCCTCGAGTGGGCCGTCAAACCCTACCATCCTCATCGATGGTAGAACTTCATGCACCCTAATCCTCATACAAATGAGGTATGAAGGCATACCTAGGGATTTCAGCTTAAGTAGCAGACCCCCCATTGAACAAACCAGTCAAGATCTAGGGGAATGTGTCGCACGACCTAGAATCCTCAATAAACAAGGCTAGAGTCCGAATTGCACACTTTTCAATTATTTAAGCTTTCAATGCTTTGTCTATAATTGCCATGCATTATTAGTATGCTCATGCATCTTATAACTGTCATTCACACAAGAAAATATTTTGATTTCTCGTTTATAACCGAAACCGTTGATTCATATGAAAAGAAGCTGAAAACCTAATCCATGAACCTAATGATTTTAGGCTAGTGCTTTTATCCTAAAGGCAATCTAAAATGGAGTCAATCACGGGATTTTTTCCTTAATTTTTTTCTCGAAAACAAAAACAAATTAAGGTGGTGACTCTTAACACATCACACACTGTCAAAGCGCTTCAAAGAGCCAACCCAATCACACTTAAGCGCTAACCGAGTCATAATCAAACAAAAAGGAAGCATAAGGAGTTCCTACCAGTTCTGTGATGAACCCACCAATGGGCCCGTCTAGTTAGACTTTGTCCTTCGGATCTTTCTCATGGCGCTTGAAAGGGGGCTCACATGTGTATATAAATGAGCCCAATTCAGTCTGCTATATACAATCCTTCACAATCTCAGGGAGGCTATCATATAACTCGTCGTCCAGGAAAGTGTTACCGCCAGCCTCAACCCGAGACAAATTTGCCTTCAATTGTCAAAACACAATAAGTTTTGTTGCGACTAACCAAATTATACATGTCTTTTTGTTTATTGTTGATAAACAAGTTTAAAAAACCAAAAGAGAACAAAAATGAGCCAAGTCTACTGCCAAATGGCGCTAGACACTAAGAAGTGGTGCACAACATTTCTAAAATGCCTCACGCCATCTCTCCAAGGCATAAACATAAGTCACACACAAGTAAAATGTAACATCCTTATTTTTTTGTGTATTGAATGGTGATTTACCGGTCTGTGAATTGTACCATTTGACCAGGAATTGATATTATTTCGGCCCCAAAAAAATTAATATTCATGATTTATATTTTATTTAATATTTCTAGAGCATGCATGCATTATTTTGATGGGTAGAAATTAACTTATGAATTTATTTGGAGAAATTAAGTAATTAATGAATAGTGAATTATAGTATTTTAGAAATTAGAAAATTGGAGAATTATTTTTATGTAGTAATTTTAATAATTATTATGGAGAAAAATATTATTATGAGAGGTGTATATAGAGAATTAGTGTGAGACATTAGATTGAAATATAAGTGACTAAATCCTAGCCACACAATTAATAACTTCCTAAGGAAGTTGTCTATATTTATAAAAATGCCCTTTATCTATTAAAAACCCTTATTTCCCCTTTAGCAATCACATTTTTGTTTTCCTCTTCTCCTTCTCCATCTTGGCTGACAAACCC